CCAAAGGGAGCGAGCACCTCTACCAGAGTCCAGGGTAGACTTAAGTCCCAGGCAGGGCTGAAGGGCCTGCATCTAGGAGCACTGCAGAAGAAGGAAGGCATTTCGGGATAGAGCAAACAAGCATTAGAGAGTGGCAATAGCAAGTCAGCTTGGATGAGCTGCTGAGCTAGGCCACACTGGATTCTGTGGGGCGGGGCGGGGCGGGGTACAGCCTGGCTGACAGGACTATCCGGCTGTGGCAGTGCCTGCTCCAAACTCCCCCTGAGCAGAGCTCTCCCAGAGCTTTCATTGAGGGGAATCATGACCACATTTCATTAGCCTGCCTTCTCCCCAGTCTGAATACTAAAGGACAGGCCCGCCTGTCACCTCTGAACCCCTGGGGCCCAGCACAGGAATCTTGCATACAGAAGAGGCTCAAGAAATATTGACTGGGCTCTGGCAAGCTGGGAAGGTGGACCCACTGGTGGTGGGAGCTGGAAGCGAGGTTGGACCATGTTTTCTGATACAAGGGGGGCTCTGTACAATATCCAGAACACTGGCTGAGGTGTTAGGAGCACTGCCTCTAGTCCCAGCCAAGTCACAAATAAGGATGTCACTGCTGTCTCTTCTGTGGAATGAGAGCTGATATTCAATGCCTTTTCCAGTGACTCTCTTTTGGGCACTTTGGCGAGCCGCCATCTGAAGCCACAAGCTGACCTCTCCCCTGAGGCCTGCAGGCCAAGTCCTCCCCACACCACGAGGGGGAGCTCTAACACACTCCAGGCCAACGCCTTTCAAACCCGCTAACAAATCTGTGTGCACAGGAGTGGCAGGTGGACACTCGCTCACATCGGGAAGGCTGTTCCTACTTACAGAGCTCCAGGTGTCCGGCCACCAGGCACCCCACAAAGTGCCCTTGCACACACAGAGCTGAGGAAGGGAAGTCGGTGTTGAAGGGTGCCTGCAGCATCTTCCATCTAGCGTTCCACTTCCTCAGTGCTGAGACAGATCCCAGAGAAGGGGCCAAGGCCTGCTCCAGGCAGTATTTCCAGGATCATTCCTTGGATTCCTGTTATGTCTAACTTCTGGGGAAGAAAAAGACTGACCAGTAGGATTTGAATCTTTTAATTTGGAAATGGCCAGCTTCCTCCTGCCCACTCCTCTCTCCATAATATCCCTCTTTAGCCCAGCTTCCCCAGGAGTCGGATCTTAGAGCAGCAGGCCCACAAACAGGTCCCCGTGGTGCCTCAGGCCAGTCTCCATCTCTGTAGATCTGGGGTGGGGACAATGGGCTGAGGAGCTAGTGAATCCAAGAGAAATGTGTCTGAGCTCCACTGTCGCCTTGCTCTGGCTGTCGTCCTAGGGTCACTGCTGGTCCCCTGTGAAGATGGAGCCAGGCAGGAAAGGGCACGTCAGGCTGGGGCCACTGGGGCCCGGAGCGAAGGGCACCTCCTCTCCCAGAGCTCAGGCACTTACCCTGAGTGGCCCTGGGCACGATCTCAGCCCGGTAGATCTTGAAGGCATCGTAGGCAAAGACGGAAACCAGGATGATGCCAAAAACCTGTGGAGCAGGAGTGTGGATGGCACCACAAAGTCCATCCAGTATTAGGGAGGGAGAGTGGGGTGGTGGGGGCAAGGTGTGGGTCAGGCCACAGGAAGGGAAGTGAGTAGCACCAGCTAGAGGTCCTTGGGGAACTGGGGAGCTCTGGGGCATATGGACTCACAAAAGCAGCAATGGCCGCTCCATCCCGGGAGGTCACAGCTGCAAAGGAGACCACCAGGAAGATGATGATGGCACTAACACAGCGGAGGAAGTCCTAGGGAGTCGAGGTTCCAGGTCAAAGGGAAATCAGGGAGCAGGGGCATCCCCCTGAACTTTTCCAGGCTAGTCAGCACTTGGCCCTCGAGCACTGAATTCCTGCACAAAGACACCCTGGACTACATAAAGTACTTAAGAGAAAAAGAGGGAGGGGCTCACATGCTCTCCAGGGAAGGAATGCAGAGACCAGGACAGAAAGCCAGAGGCCTGGGCTACCGCTGACCCAGGCTCAGCAGCTCAGGCCAAGGGCAGGGCTGGGCTGGGACTGGACCTGTGATGACTGGAACAGCAGAACTAAAGGATGTGTGTCCTGTCCTGGCCAGTGTGGCTCAGCTGGTTGAAGTGTCTTCCTGTTTACTAAAGCATAAAGCCCTGGTCGAGGACATTGATCCCTGGTCGAGCACATACGGGAGGCAACCGATCGATGTTTCTCACATTGATGTTTGTCTCTCCCCTCTCTCTTTCTCTCTCTTTAAAATATCAATTAAAATTTTTTTTTAAAAAAATGTGTGTCCTCATTGTCAGTGACCCAGCAGCTTGGGGCAAAGTCCTGTCTGGTTGAGGGACCCAGGAAAAGGGAAGAGGCTGAAGAGGAAAGGAAAACTCTGCATTCAGAGGAGAACAGGGCAGGGGAGAGGGGCCTCACCAGACAGGGCCAGTTCAGCCGGTCGAAGCGCTGGTAGTACTGGGTGGCGTAGAGGAACAGGAAGGCGAGGGTGATGAAGAACTCGAGCAGCGCGGCGGCCATGTAGGCGGAGATGGAGGCAGTGAAGCAGATGAAGATGATGAAGGTCAGGGCCTGCGGGACCAAATGTGCGGGCTTGTCAGGAAGGGACACAGGCAGGGCCTGGCCTTGCCTTCTCCTCCTCAAGAGCACCCAGGCTGCTCCACCCCACCAATGTCCTCCCCTGGTGGCCGGAACCACTTCCAGGACTTTGGCCCAGGGGCAGTCCCCATCCTCCCACCTCGGCCAGCCCAGGCAGGTTAGAATCTTTTAATTTAGGGATGACCAGCCGCCACCTGCCCCTGCCCATCCCAGTAGCCCGGGCAGGTTGGTGTCCTGCTGGGGCACAGAACACAGCACAACGCAGCCCCTGGGGTCCTCTGCCCCAGGAAGCGGCTCCTGCCCCATAATCCTGCCCCCTCTCCCGAGGCTTCAAGCTCCTCTAACAAGGCTCGGAGCCTGTGGCTCTGTGGCAAGGGACAGGGTTAGAAGACAAAGTGCCCACAGCAGGTTCCACGGCCCGGTGGCTCTGGCACTGCCGGGGCACCTGCGCAGAAGACCTGCCTTTACACGAAGGCCTGCTGAGTGACTGCGGGCAGATCCTGTCCTGGGAACAGATGCTCGTGGGGAACAGACAGCAGTACAGCGGGGCTGCAGGCAGTCTCCGCTTTTAGGCAGTTGGAACCACTTCTTGGACACGCCAGGAAGTGGCCATCTTAGAGCCTGGGAAAGACAGGCTGGTGCTACCCCACCCCGTCCCTGTGTCTAGCACTCCCTCGATGTCCCAGAAAGCTGTCCTGTCTCCCTTCAACCCTCCCTGGCACGACGGAAGCCAGCTGTCACTGCCTCCAGGAGAGAGGCAGCAGGCAGGGAGGGAGAAGATGACAAAGGGGCAGCTGGAGGGTAAAGGAGTTCCCAGAAAGCTGGGAAGGGGGGCGGTGGGCGGGGCGGGGGGACAGGGCTAGGAGACAGGGAGGTGCCAGGTTGAGGTGGCTGCTGTTACCAGCTCAGTCTCCAGCAGGATGCCTTTGAGGGAGGAGAGGAAGGTCTTGTCCACAGCGAAGCCCTGGAGCCCCGCAGCTGCCCCCTCTTCAGGGGGCCGGTCCCGGCGATCCAGAGCCCCGAGCATCTCCGTGGGCCCGGCAGGCACAGCCCCTTGCTGCCAGCGGCCCAGGAAGGGAAACAGGAAGGTGGAAACCTGGCAGATGGGGAAGCAGACAAGAGAAAGAAGGCACTTGAGAAACCCGAAAGTGAAGCGTGCGGGCCTGCTGTGGGGACCTAGGAGAAGGCAGGCGCCCCCGGGGAGGCCTGCCCACATGGGCCTTCGCCCAGCTGCCCAGAGTGACCCTGCTGGTGCCTGCACCGGCCCCCAAGAGGCACATGGGGAGGGGAACGGAGGGAGGGGCTGTAGAGGAGTGGCCAGCCCTCCCGGACTTGGAGACGGGAGGAGGGGGAAGAGGAGGAGGTCTGTGGAGACCGGGAGGAGTTGGGAGTGGAGCCAAGAAACAGGCTGGACTAGGAACCCCCGAGGACCTGAGCCTGAAGAAGTCTGTGTCCCCTCCCCTAACCTTAACCCTTTTCCTCAGCCCCTCTTTTCTCCCTTTTCCCCTTAGGGAGGGTGGGAGCTGGGGCCCGGCCAGGCAGCGCCCCCAGGACCCAGCTGCAGCCGCCAAGAGGAAGGACAAAAGCAGATTGTTGGGGGGACAAGAGGGTGCTGTGTTCTTGCTGCAGTGCCTCAATGGGCCTCTGTCTCTCCAGCATGCCAGGGGGGTGGCCTGACCCCATCCTGGTGTTCAGAGTGGACCAGGGAGCCAGAGAAAGAGAGGGATGGGTGGCCATAGCGGAAACTCTGGAAAGAGCGGTAGGTGAGGGCTGACCGTGGGGAAGACAAGGGATGGGGCTGGGGACCACCAGATGCTCAGGCACCGGGATGCCAAAGACAAATTAAGCCACTTTGAAATGCAGATTATTTATTTGGGTAAGTCTCTCCATGCTCGATTACAGCCTCTTCCTCAGAGTCACCCATGTCAGAACACTAGTAACATGCTTACTGAGTGTTGAATGAATGAATGAATGAACGAACGAACGAAGGAACAAATGAATGAAATGAAGGGTTCTTTGTTGGCAGGAGGGAAAATATCAAGAAAGTGCCTGTGCTTCACGAGGGCAGCTGGGGTTGGGGGAAAGGAAGAGACGGGCGGTGGCCTCCTGGAACGCGCAGAACTTGGTGGGAGGAAATCAGGATGCCAGTTGCAGCAGCCACAGCAGCTGCCGCCCCCTTCGCTTCACCTGCACTTCCCATCCACTCCAAAAAGTGCAAAGTGTGTTTTCCGCTCAGGTCCCTATTCCGTCCCACGATCCTACTGCTTCAGATGATGCTTCGGAGGGGCTGAGCACGGGGCGTCCTGGCTCACCGTGTCAAGTGCTTGTACACCCAGCTCCAGTGTTCCAACCGGAGGGCAGGCACGGGCAGCGTGACTAGGCCATCACACGGGGCCGCACACACACGCACGCAAAGGAGACGCGGTAGAGCCTGCGCTCCAGGCAGTAGCCATCACGGGCACCCTGCTCCCCAGGGCACCGCCGGCGGTAGAAGACGGTCTGGTTGTGGTAGAGGAGCTCCGAGTTGCCTAGGGGGTCCATGTGGGAGCCCGTCCGTAAGCTGACGCAGTGTGGACATAGGCAACGGGCGTGATACAGGTCCTGAGGGAGACGGTCCATGTCCCTGTCCAACCTGTAGGGATGGTATGTGTCAGTCAGGCCTTGGAGGGAAGCTGGCTGGGCAGACAGGGCCTGGGCCAGAACTGGGAGGGCCCAGTGTGGGTGGAAATGCCAGAGGAAGGAAATGGTGTGGTTGGGAGGCCTGGCCTCTTGCCACTTGCTGGTGACTTTGAACCAGTCACCCCCTCCTCCCCAACATGAGGGTCAGGATGGAAGCGTGGCTTTCCCGCCCTCCACCAGGCCAGCTCCACTTCCATCTGATGCACACACTGGCTCTGGCACGAGGTTTCTCTTTGTAACTGTTATTACATTTTAGGGTGTTTTTGATTATAAAAGTAAAAACTGTTCTTAATTTTAAATATATATATATACTAATGATTCAGTGCATGAAATTTGTGCACATTAAAAGGGAATTAGAGGAAATAATTTAATATTGCTATTTGCCCTTTCTCTATAATAGAAGTGTCAGAGATGAAAGGAAATTAGTAAAATGTATATGAAAATCTTCCTCCTGTCAGAGTCTAGGATGTACCACAGGAACCAGTCAAATCCCTGCCCACCCACATGTGCCTTGATATCACCAGAGACCCAGACCCAGCCGGCCCCACCCCCATGGGGCTAGATCCAGACCTGGCTGGCCCCACCCTCGTCAAGCCCTGCAGGATGAGGGGCATAGCTTCAGGTAACTTGGCCAGGTGCTGGAGGTGTGTGGCCTGAGGTCCCTGTCAAGCCCCACCAGGCAGGGGGCACAGCCTCAGGTCCCCTGCCCCTGCCCAGCATCAAGATCCCTGCTGATTGCTCGTTAAGACTCCTTACGGGAACTTGACCTCTGCTGTGGGCGCATCCATCTTGTGTTATGGAATCCCTGTCTCCACTGTAGGCACAGCCATTTATGTTAGGGTGTGATGGTCAATTTGCATATTACACCTTTATTGTATAAGATAGATAGATAGATAGATAGATAGATAGATAGATAGATAGATAGATAGATAGATGACTAATAGGCTTATCTTCCAACCAGTCCCACTCCCTCAGAGGGCGCCAGTGTCAACTATTTTCTACACTTCCTCTGGACACTGTGCATGTATTATAAGCACATGTTAGAGGACATGGTGAGACTCATTTATTTATCCTGAAAGGATCTTGTGGGCCAAAAGGTAAAAAGTAGGTGTTCCACCGGCCTGGGACTCCAGAAGCCTAGTAAGAAATAGCTGCTAGGTTGTAAGACCATTCTCCATGCAGAAGCTGGGGCTCAGCTAGCGCTGCATTTTCCCAATGAGTACCCTGATAAATACCTTGAGAGAGAAGGGGTCTGTGGCCAGACAAGTTTAATGGATTCTTTTCTGTAGACTTCTCTCAGACTTTAATGTGCTGAGTACATTGAGTCTCCAAGGGGGTCAGGGCTAAAACAGCTTTCTTTAAGCACACTTACTTGATATCATCACTTTTTTCTGAGGAGCAGCTTGTGGGAGGAGTGTTGCAAAGAACCCACTTTGGGAAAGACCACCTGAGTGGTTATCAGGGGCTCACAATCTCCATACGACAGGCTGGACCCCAGCCGAGTTAGCCAACTGACCCCCAGCTTCCCAGGACCCGGCCAGCCTTCTGAGACCACCACTTCAAAGCACGGTGACGGGGAGTCTCCACCCGGGATCCAGTCTCAATCAGAGCCAACCTACTCCCATCCTCTGAACTTCTCCTTCCATCCCCAAAGCTAAGGTTACACCAGCCTAGACTTATGAGGAGTGGGAACACAGACACCTCAGGAGGAAATCAGAAGGATAAATTTGGAGGAGATCCCTAAGGCCTAGTTTTTAGTATTCTGTTTTATTGTCCTGATTTCAGTGCTTCCTAATATTTTTCACATTGTACACAAATAGAGAATTATGATATTTGTTGCCCTTGCCGGTTTTTCTCAGTGGTTAGAGCATTGGCCAAAGGACTTCAGGGTAGCCAGTTCAATTCCTGGTCAAGGGCACATACCTCAGTAAAAGGTTTGATCCTCACATGTGGGAGGTAACCATCGTTGTGTCTCTCTCACATCTCTCTCTCTGTCTCTGTCTCTCTCTCCCTCCCTCTCCATCCTCCCTCCCTTCTACTCTCTCTAAAAAAGCAATGGAAAAAAATATCCTCAGGTGAGGATTAAAATTATCTATATACTAGAGGCCCGATGCACAAAATTCATGCAAGTGTAGGCCTTCCTTCCCCTGGCTGCTGGCACCAGCTTCCCTCCAGCACCCAGGACCCGGGCTTTCCTCGCAGCCCTGGCTTCATCTGAAAGGTCTTCCAGAAGGATGTCTGGTCTAATTAGCATAGTATGCTTTTAATATATATATTTGTGTGGCACACTAAAGGAAAGGCTAAGCCTGCTCATGATCCAACATCAGCAGCCACCAAACTGCCCCCAAGTTGAGGGTTCATTGTCCTGGTATATTTATGACCCACTCACATCCCAGTGCAGAGCATTGCTATTGGGATGCTTCGCATCAGTATCATATTAAGATTCCCTGATATTCTAGTCAGAAAAGCATGACCATTGTAGAGATGGAAGAAAAGCCAGAATAATATAGGCTTTACATACATTATTTCATACAGTCTGCACGTAAACCTATGCAGTATAATCTTATTGTACAGATGAAAAACACCTGAGTTTGAAACCTTGCGTAATTGGCCCGAGGTCACCCTATAAGAGTCAGAGTGAGGACCCAGACTAACCCCCCAAACCATATGGCCTCTCTGAGATACAAAGTAGCAGGTAGGTTGGAACTGAGTAGAACTCTCTTAGCCCCTCAAACACACCCCACCTGGTACCCATGCGAGCGTTTGGGAGGGGACAGTGGACTTACACGTATCGCCAGGGAGAGATGGACCTGCTGTTGAGGGGTCCGTCTGCACTGGCCCTGCAGGATGCCGGGTGGTGGCTATCAATCTCTGGAGGAGGTGTGAGCACAGTGTTCAGCTCTCCAGTGGAGTCCTGTTCTTTGTAGGGAAAGCATCTGGGCCAGTGAATGCAGTCCTTCTGAAGCCGAAAACTGAGGGTGTGGGTTCCCATGAGTATCGCTAAGAAGGCAACCACCTGTAGGAAAAGTCCAGTGAGAGAACTGCTCCAATCCAGTGCGGGTGCCCCTCTCCCAGCTGTTTCTTGCTCCACCTGACCCCCAGACCCAAACCTTGGAGCCCAGCCTCCCCACACACACAGACACATCCTGCAGCTGTCCTACTTGGCACCCTCCCCATCGAGCCTCCGCACACTCACCTGGTTCATGCCGACTGCCAGATGCTGCTCGCCCGGCGCAGTGCTTACAGGCTGACAGGCGGGGCCCTGTGGAAGCAGGCTGGCTGGAGCAGTGGAGAGTCCTGGTTTTATTTTCAGCAAACCTGTTTTGTTTATTCAAATTTATTTCCACTACCTTTTGGAGGGAGTAACCTGAGATTAAAAAACAAAACAAAACCAAAGAAAACCAGACAGTGTTTCCAGAGCTGCTTGAAATATTCTACTCATGGAAGTTGTGATGAACAGCGCTGTAAGCCTGGAAACCTATTGGGTAAATTTTATTCTTTGTGCTGCAATTCTGAGACTTTCAAAACTGGCATTATGGGAATTTTCCTTGTTGGATTGGTAGCCAGAATTAGGGAACATTATCTGGCCTCTCTTAAAGTGGCCTCATTGCCATGGTCTCTGTTGCTCCCATTCAGGTCTCATCTCCATCATTCCCTTTCTTCTCAGAAGTCCCCGTGATCAGCCACCTTAGTGAAATTTCCACTCTATCTCCTGTGACCATCAACCCTTCTGTTCTCTGGCCCCTCCCTCATCTTCAACGAACCCAACTTCTACAACCCCCATCATCTATGACTTCTCCCCATCACCCATTACCTGCTCCGGAGGATGCACATACCCCATTGCCCCCACCCCAACCCCTCCCCTGATTCCCATAGAATTGTCAAAAAGCCCCCATCCCATCAGTTTGTTGGCTGGATGCACAGGGTCTGACGGAAGAAGCTGTGGGTGACTGTTCCCATTGCACAAATGAGAAGGTAAAGCCAAGAAGAGGAGGGGCCTGATAACTCCCTCAACTGAGACCCAACAGGAGGTCCCAGTCCCAGGGACCAGCCTGCCCCCACCCCCACTCACAAGGCCATTGGAACAAGGTCATTGCAGGGGTAGCTGCTGTTCTTAGGCCATGGCCCAGTCTTAGAGCCCTCAGTTGCATGGGCCACTGTCGGCTAGGCAGGGGCCGGGGAGAGGAGGAATAGGGTGCTTCACAATGGCTCAAGCTAAAAAATAAATAAATAAATAAATAAATAAATAAAAATGGCTCAAGCTGGGCCTGATCCCAAAGACACAGGTCAGCCAGGGACCATCCAGCCTGAGGGGCACTGAGCAGGCCATGCCCACTTCTCTCCATGCCTTTTCTCTTCATCCTTGCCCATTGACCCCTCTCAAACATCCTCCATGGCACCCCCATACACACACGCCTACACACCATGTATTGATATGTTCTCTAGCATGATGTTTCCTGATTTGCATGTGCTTTCCCTTAGAAAGTACTCTTCTGGTAACCAAGGACACCGGAAGTAAACAAAGAGAACCAGAAATAATGTTAACTATAGAGTGAGAAGGAATTCTTCAAATGCTTTAGGGCAGCGGTTTTCAGCCTTTTTCATCTCATGGCACACATAAACTAATTACTAAAATTCTGCAGCACACCAAAAAATATATCTTTTGCTAATCTGACAGAAATAATAGGTATGATTTTGATTCATTTACACCCAACAGTTATTGTTGTGTTGCCTGTTGTCATTTTTCTATTTGACTAGTCAGATATTGCATGCCTTAATATTCTTGAGGCACACCAGTTGAAAAATTGCTCTTTGGGGCTGCTTTGCCCCAAAGCAGAGCAGTAATGAGGTCAGAGGGCATTCTGGAGGATTGTGGGAAGCTGCTGTGGTGAAGGCCCTGGAACTAAGGGTGGCACAGGCTCAGAGGGAACAGGTGGTGGCTGGGAGAGCAGGGGCATTTAGGAGAGCACTGACTCAGGAGGGCATCACCCTGCTCCCACTGCCCCTCTTCACCCCTGTGCTCCCAGACACCCTCATTTTCACTCTCTGCTGTCCTCTCAGTACTGTGTGTGCCAGGATGGTGCCAAGGCCTGTAGGTGCATCAACTCATTTTACCTTCCAATAAAAACAAGATGTGAAAACTATCCCCCTTATTGTCTCATATTAAGATGATGAAACTGAGACCCAAAGAAACTGAGTAACCTCAAGGTCACTCAGGAAGGGGCAACACTGGTTTTCCACTACAGCCCTGACCAACTCTAACTCTAAGCTCCAGGCATGGAGGTGCCACCCTGTGCTGCCCTTACTGGTTGCAAAGGGAAGGGAAGTCCCTTCATTAAGTGCTTTCCTACTCACCTGGGCTTGGACCCAGGTCTCACCTGCACCTGCCCAAGGTCACAGGGCATTCCTGCCCACTCAGGCATTCAGCACTGCTGGCTGGGACCCACGGCTCCTGCTCCTAGTCTCCAGCCTCTGGGTGTTCCTGAGGAGCCTTCAACCCCAGGAAAGGCTCTGAGAGAGCAGTGCTCTTCCTGAAGACCTGACTCCTTAGGGGTCTCCCCAAAGCCAATCAGAGCCTCAGAGCCCAGATCTCCTGACCTTGCCCACCCCAGCCCTGCCCCGGTCCAGGAGGGGGTGTTCAAAAGAGCTGGAAGTGATTCCAGCTGCTTATTACTTGCTGATGTTGCAAAAAAAAAAATTGTTTGCTCAGGTCATTGACCTTCAGGAGAGATTTTTGGGGTGTCCTCTGCCTCTGTAGCAGGACTTCCTCTGAGAAAACCCCTGAAAGGCAGAGATAGAGTCCCTCCACCACACAGTCTCTTCCAGGGATGCTCAGGCCTGACAAAGGACATGTGCTCTGAGCCACCCGTCCTACCTGCCCCCCAACACCCCGCCCACCCCTGTTGGCTCAGCCTCCGTCCTTATCTCAGTAGTATCTCTGTGGGACTCCTTAGGGTGACTCCCTGGCATGAGAAACATTTTCCAGAGGTTTCCCTCCTGGGGTGACTAGTTTTGGAATCCCTGAGTCACGTCAGCTTCCAGGGAATCCCTGGAGGTGGGGGAGATGGGTGTGGCAGTGGGGAGAATGCTGAAGGTGGGAGCAAAGAAAAGTTCACCCCGTACCCAGGGTGCCTCCCAGTGTGTCTTCACCTGCCTGAGCCTGACCTGGAGACCCAGCCCTGTGCTGCTGGAAAGAGATAAGCACCTGGCAGCAAAGGCAGGGAAGACGTGATGGAATACACCTCCTCCTTCGGCCGGCCGGGAAAGGCTCCTGGGGCTTGCAGAAAGCTAGAATATGACTGCCCTGCCCTTTCTCAGAAAGACATTCAAATCCTCACCTGCTAGTTTGAAGTCCAGACCCTGCCTCCGATCAGCTCTTGATCTTGGGCCCCCTCTGGTCCTTTCTCATCTGTAGAAGTGTGGTGAGGTGGGGTGGGAGGTTTTAACCTGGATGGCCACAAAAGTGCCAATCAGCTTAGCTGTGCTGGACCTCAGCTCCTGAAATAGCTCATCCGCACTCACCTGGTGTGAGGCAGGGGCACTGGTGTTTAAGATGCTGAGATACCTCTGCTCCTGCTGATAAACAGATCCTCTCCTCAGCCCCGGGGCATCCCACTGTCACAACCTCCCTGCGGTCCTGCAGATAAAGGCCCTGCTCAGTAAGGCCTCCAGAACACTGCTGTAAGTTCTGCTTGATAGGCAATAATGGCACCAGTTGCTAATTATTTGTACTGTCACCTTTAGTTACAAAGATGCTTAGGCTCAGAGCCTGCCTTCAAGAGAACTCCATCCATCCTGGGAGACACACGGAGAATTAGAGTGCACAGGACAAGAAGCCCCACAACGTCCTCTCCAGCTGGGTGCTAGTGCCTCCTCATTCACCAGATACTTACTGAGCGCCTACTTTACACCAGGCACTATTTATTTTATTTTATTTTATTTTATTTTATTTTATTTTATTTTATTTTATTTTATTTTATTTTATTTTATTTTATTTTATTTTTTAAAGAGAGAAAGGGAGAAAGAGGTAGAAACCTCAATAAGGAGAGAGAATCATTGATTGACTGCCTCCTGCATGCCCCCTACTGGAAGTCAAGCCCAAAACCCAGGCATGTGCCCTGACCTGAACCGTGACCTACTAGTTCAACCACTGAGCCACAGTGGCCAGGCACCGGAAATATATATATATATATGTAATTTTTTAGAGAGAGGGATAGAAACAGCACGAAAAAGAAACACCAATGATCAGCTGCCTCCTGCGCGCCCCCGACAGGGGATTGAGCCCACAACCTGGGCTTGTGCCCTGTCTAGGAATTGAGCCAGTGGCCTCTTGGTTCCTGGCTTGACGCTCAACCACTGAGCTACACCAGCTGGGCTAGGCACTATTTTAAATGGTAGGAATGCAGAGGAGTAGAAGCCAGATAAGGCCCTGCCTCATGAAACTTTCACCTTAGGAGGAGACAGATGATAAATATGGAAACAAGATAATTTCGGATAATAACCAATGCTATGAAGAAAATGAAATAGTATTATGAGATAGGAAATTATGGGGCAGGGGGTTGCCTTAATTTAGAAAGGTAGGGAAGAAAAAAAAATAGAAAGGTAGGTAAGGATGAATGGCCCAGGCAGAGGGAGGGGGGCATGCAGAGTCCTGGAGGTGAGAAACAGCTGGTGTATTTGAGAATCAGAAAAGACAGTGTAAAGGGAAAACAAAGGCTGTGGGGAGAGTGGGGTGCGATGAAGTGGAAGAGGGGGGTAGGGACCAGATCACATAGGGTGCCATGGTGGAGCATTTGGATTTTATTCCAAGTTCAGTGGGGAGGTACTGGCTGGATTCAAGCATGATCTCGGTGATGTGAGTTTCCGAGAGCAGCACTCTGTCCTTGATATTCTGCTCCCCCCTCCTCTCCAAGGCTGGCATCCAATAACAATAATAGTTGCTTTTATCCAACATTTATACAGCATAGGCCAGGCACTGTTCTCAGGATTCTCTTAATCCTCACAACAAGTCAACGCTATCGGTTCCATTATTATCCCACATCACAGACAGGGAACCAGAGGCTCCAAGAGGCCATGTAGCTTGCCAAGGTCGCCAGCTAGTGCTGGAACCAGGATTGGACCCCATGCGATCTGGATGCTGAGGAGCCCAAAGGAAGAACTGGAGGAATCCGTGAGCACCGGAGAAATTCTGAAGAGCAGGAGGAACAAGAGCAGGCCACTGAAATCCTAGGTTGGGATGAGAGAAAGACTAGCTGGTTGGTCCTGCTAGAAAAGGGAGAGAAGACTGGGACACAGAAAGCCAGAGGGAGGGTCCCTTCCTGTCTTACTCTGAACATAGCAAAGACCACCTCAAAGCTGAGGGCCTGGCTGCCTCAGGCTGACCTCTCAGGTCTTAGCTGCCCAGCAGGCTGGGCTTTCTCCAGCTTACCCTGGGGCCCACAGCTCTCTCTCTGAACAAGTTAGAATCACCTTAAACCTCTGGAAAAGAGAGGGCAAGGGTGAGGCAGAAAGCTAGAGGAAAGGCTCCTCCTGCCCTCAGCAAAACCCCTTTCATCTTTCATGAAAGCACAGGCTGTAGGGAGAGCCAAGGTGAAGAGGAACAGTCATGGAGGGGAAGCCCGGTGCTGGGCACTTTACACATACTCACGCTTCACCCACGTCAATCAGATTTAGATTTTATTCCAAGTTCAGTGGGGAGGTACATCACCATGACCATGCTTGAATCCTCAGATGAGGAACGGAGATCAGATGTCATAGAGTTTGACCTAGATCACACAGCTAATAAGCCAGGATTCTCTTCCAAGTCTGACTGCCGCTGCTCAGTGCCAGCACTCCAGGAGCAGTCTTATTCTCCTGCAGGTTTGCACTCTGCTGCCCCCACCGACATTTCCCCAGGTGCTGAGCCCCATTGCCCACCTCCCAAACAACCATTTTGCCTAGTCCTATCATTTCCCTCCTGCTTAGCCCTTTCTGACCTCCAGCTATTTCTCCTGTGCCGTGGGAGCATCAGGAACTATGTTTCCTGTCCACCCCAATTTGCCTTGCCAGTCCCCTGAGCATACAGTGACCCCCCCTGAGGGTCTGTGTTCCAGCTGCCAGACCCCCAGGGCTGGGGTCTGTTGGAAGTTGGATCAGACTAGAGTTGGAATGCAGGAGCTCTCCCTTCAGACCCATCTGGAAATTTAAACATTCCTCTACCAGCCTAAAAGAGTTGGAGTCTGTTCAGGATTCCCAGACCCATGCTCAGGTCTGCACTCCATCTCAGAGCCAAGCCCAGAACCAATATTGTCCATCCTCATGTTCACCTCAGAATCTCTCCCTAATCCGCAGTGTGGGTCCCACCCCTCCCCTCTGCAGAGGTATCTTCATAGGTACGCAGGCAGTAGGGAAGGGAAGGGGTGGTATTTTCAGAATACCAGTCAAAGCAGGTATCCCACCTCCTCCTCCCCTGGAAATGCCTGGGTGTGTGGGCCTGTGAGATGTGGAGGGGAAGCCTCTATCTGTCCGAGGCCTAAAGTTCCCAAAGGGCCTTAAATTAGACTTTCAACATTATTGCCGAGTGGGGTTATACAGAGAATCTATTCTTTTTTGCGTTTTTTGTGGATATAAAAGTAGATATGAACAAGTTCAGTGGCCAAAAATAACTTCGCAGGGTGATCTGATCATAAATTCCTAACTGGGCAGGTTATAGTGGGTATAACTGCTTTGGTAAAAGGTTTTGAAAGCAAGTCCTGCCTATTGTTCTTGTGCATCTAGGTTAACAAACCTTTGAAATGCCAGAAATAATCCTCTTTTCCAGACCCCTTGAAGGTGACAAGATTATGGGCCCCCTTAACCACCTTCAAGGGAGCCCATAATCTAGTTACCTATCTGGTTACCTTGCTTTCTCTTGCCTTTATGTAATCTTCCTTAAGTTCCTTCCTTCATCATCTCCCCCCACCGGCCAGCATTTGAGATATTAATTTACTTATTTATTGTTGTTAATACTCACCCAGGGATATTTTTCCACTGATTTTTAGGGAACGTGGAAGAGAGAGGAAAAGACAGAAACATCCATGTGAGAGAAACACATTGATTGGTTGCTTCCTGCACTCAGCCTGACACCGAGGTCCGCCGCACCCTTGACCCTTGGGCCTGCAGGCCATGCTCTATCCACCGGGCCAAACGGCTAGGGCCATTTGAGATCTTGCTTCCTGACATTGTCCTCAGTTTGGCTCCAGTGACTGCTTATAAAAATGTCTTCAGGTTTGGACATTTCTTACATCAACAATGTGAAGTGTTAATTTGATAAATGTAAATGTTGAAAATAGACTATAACTTTTCAATCCTGTTTGGCATCTCACCTTTGAAATACCAGGAACTTCAAAAACGGAAGAAAGAAGGCTTCCCTCCAGCCTCTGGGAGGCCTTGATCTGTGCTGTGGCAGAAAAGGAAGAGGGGCTGGAGTGCGCACACACGGAGGAGCAGTGATATGGCGGGACAGGTGGAGACCCACGGGCCCTGTCCTCTCCGCGGAAGCTCCTGGGAGGCCGGATCCCAGCTCCTCTGAAAGAGTCCTGGCCTCCTGTGCCCGCGGTCCCCATTCCTGCTTTCCGTGGCAGCGCGTGCCAGGCGAGGGCAGGGGACAGGCCCAGACTGGCGCAGGGGGGTAGGGGCAGCCCCGCCTGCAGCTCTGGGATCAGACGGTCAGGTTTCACTTCACTTTCTCCCGTCGGGGCCGGAATCCACGTCCGCCCAGTCTGCCCGAAGGCAAGCCGGCTACCCCGTCACCCCCGCGGAGGCAGTGCCAGCGAGAAGAGAGGCTCCACTGAGGAGCCCGGGAGGCGGAAGGAGCGCGCTCCCGCCCCTGCAGCGGGGAAGACAGATGTGGGCTCATGAAAGGGAGTCAGAGAGGCGCGGACTGGCGGGGGAGTGAGGGGGGGCGTGGCAGGGAGAGGGGCGCCCCCAGGAGCGAGCGGCCCCGCCACCCCTCGGGTCGCGGCGACGGCGGGAGCAGAAAGCGCAGGGAAAGGGGAGGGAGGGGCGCGCGGTCCGGCCCCGGGGTCGTGAGCTGAAACTCAACACCGGCTTCGGAGGGAGCTTCTCCTTTCCCCTCCGCCCCTCCCCTCCCTTCTCCCCTCCCTTCTTTCTCTGCAGCCCCGGGACGGAGCTCCGCGCGGAGCGGAGCGGGCCCAGGGGGAGGAGAAAGAAACTGCTCCGGGAGGGCAGCCTGGAGCCCGGGACGGGGAGGGGAGGGAGGGGAGCCACGAGCAGACGTGAGCCTAAGGCCACGAGCACCCCGGAGCCTTCACGGCCCTTAGTGTCCCCTCGCCTCCAGGCGAGTCCTCAGGCCCTGGCCTGCCCCGCCCGCGCCTCCTGGGCTCCTTTTGCTTTGTGTCCTTTTCCTCCGTCTCCGGAGACACCTAGGGGCTGCCCCGAGCGGGAGGGTGTAGGGGGGCCCTGTCTGGGGTGCGCGCGAGCGGGCTGGGGCCGGCGCCGGGGCAGGGGGCGAGGGTGGGAGCTGGCGTCGGGGGCCCCGCGCGCTGCGCCGAGGGGTGGAGGGCGGTGGGCTCCGGGGAGCCCCTCTTTGGCTTTGGGGAGGCCATCCCGCCCGTTCGATCCTCGCCCCGCGGTCTTCGCGGCACCCCCGGCCCTGGGCGCACTGAGAGCGCGGGAGTGCGCACCGCCCGGGCCGCCGCGGCCCCGCGCCCGCAGCCCCTCGGTGTCAGGGGCCTCCTTCCGCCAAGTTGGGAAGTTTGAAGAGGGACGTAAGGCTTCGTTCTAGCTTTCCCTCCGTCCACAGCAGCGAGGCCGCTGCATTGCTCCTGCCGCCCCGGCCGAGGCCCCGGAGCCTGGCTCTCCGGTCCCGGGTGGGGTCGGGCTGGTTCCTAAACTCGCTCGTCCTGCTTGACTGCCCCGGCGGCCGCTCCCAGCCCTCGGGGCCATTCCGGGCGCCCCGGGGAGGCGTCGAGCGCCTTAGCCCCCTCCTCCCAGGCTGCCCCTGCCCCGCAAGGGAGCCAAGGAAGCCGGACCCTGCGGATCTGGGGTGTCTCCACGGCCCGGGCCGGGCAGCTCCGGGGGCCTGGCCACCCCGGCGGCCCCCGGGAGGCCGCGGGGACAGCGCGGGGCGCGCGCCTTTGGATAAGGTCCCGCAGCGACGCCCCAGCCCGCCCCGCTGCTCCTCCTCCCGCCTGGCCCAGCTGCCTCCCATTTGGGGAGTTTGTGGGTTTTCTCTTTCTCCTCCTCCAGCCTCTGCGGAGGCCACGACTCAGGCGCCAAAGCTGGGGGCCGCCTCCATGGTGCGAGGCAGCCGCTGCTGAAGTCAGCGAAACCGAGCCTGGCCTGGAGCGGGCCACGCCAGAGGCCGAGGCCATGGCCATAGCCACGTCGGTGAGTCCACCCGGGAGAGGAGGCAGCCGGGCAGAGACCACCTCCACGGCTGCCCTGCGCTCTGTCACTTTTACTTCTGCCTTCTCTTTGTCTCTCTTCTTGGTCCCTTTCTCCTCCAGGACGCTGGGTCCCTCCACTTTTGTTTTGTGTTTTCTTCTCATCCTTCTGTGTCTGGAGTCCCCCCTCTCCCGCACCCCCTCCCCTTCTCTCTTTCTTTCTAGAGGCTGTCCTGCAAAGAGGGGAGGGGGCAAGTCCAGGCCGAGTCCTGTGTGCTCATTTATTGGCGGGAACAGATGGCCGGCGGTGGCTGGCAGGGGCTTGTGATTGGGAGGCCAGTGAAAGGTTGGGAGGGGGCTGAGAGAATGGAGGTGGCTCAGAAAAAAAAAAGGGGGGGGGGAGGCCGGAGGGCCCAAGAAGGCCCTTCTCTAGAGGAGGGATGAAGGAAAGGGAGGAAATGAAGCAAAGACAAGAGCGATCAGGCAGGGAGAGAGAGAAAATAGATGGAGGGGGAGGTGATGTCAGCCAGCCTCTGGCCACTTTCTGGGTACAAAGCAAGAGACAGCTGGCAGGCGTGATGGGGCAGTGGGAGGAGGCACCCCAGAGAGCGTAGCCCACTGCCACCCCCACGAAGGCAGCCCCTCCCTCCTCAGTCAGCTCAGACCCTGAGAAGGCGGGCAGAGCAGCGGTGACCACACCCATCATCAATCAGTCTATCAGCAGCTCTGGCCTGGGTGCTTGCAATTGCCAGGCCCAGAGGCTCGGCCGGATTGGACAGAATTCAAACCTCACACTGGGAGGAGCTCTCCCCAGCTCCACCTTCTCCTTGCCGTCTTGCGCTCCTTGCCATCTGAATCCTAAACAGCTCTGTTCTCCTACCGCCCTTCCCGGGTCTCTAGGGTTCCCACTGGGAGGCAGGCTGCCACCTGCTTTCTGGCCCCTCTGAATGGGTACTCTGGAAAGGAAGCTGGACAGAGAAGTCTGCCTCCCCACAATCTCCCATAGTCCTGTAGGAAGGGTTCAATTTCCAGTCCTTCTCAGACCAAACTCCTTTTAGTTCCTCCATCTGTATGATGATGGGGAAAACCATCATAGTTTTCAGAGCTGGGAAAGGGGGAGACCCTGAAGATCGTGGGTGTACTCTGACATAAAGATGCTAGTTCAGAAGCCAGCTGATCCGCTGTGTAGTCCCAGGAGGTAGATTTTTCTTTTTACCAGGGGGGGGTGGGAGAGTATCTATGCTAATGAAACTTACAGGAGTCTAGTAACAGCTAATATTTATTGAGCATTTACTGGCTCTCATCTCAGCTTTGCCCTGATTGCTTGAGACATTATCTCATCCTATCTTCACAACATCCCTGTGAAACTAGTACTATTATTATCCAAATGGATATTCAGATATGGATATGGAACTCTACAGAAGAAACAGGCTCAGAGAGGTTTAACAACCTGCACAAAATCACCCAGTTAGAAAGTGGGAGAGCCAAGTCTCAAACCCAATACTGTCCGCCTCTGTCCAAACTGTGCTCTTAAACCCAGTTAGGCCAAATCCAAAATACTAATTTATAATGTACAGTTAGAAAGAAAAGTGCCATGCTAACCAGAAATTTGTGTCATCTAGTTAGCAGGTTTCCTTTCTGTGGGACAATATCCTGTAGAAGCCAATACCATCAGAAAATGGTTTGATAGGGCTAATTCAGGCAGAAGAAGTCAGTGTGTTGTTGACATCATCCAGCCATGAAGGGCTGGACAACCTCTCCATCCGAGGGAAACACTAGCCAAGGGAAACATGCATCATGGCTGAACAGGGCATCCTCCTCCCCAGGGCCTGGTGGCCAAATACAGCCCGCCAGAGATCTTCAGCTTGAGACTTTACTGAATTCGCCCATGTGGATCACTTGCTCGATAATGCCTAACCACCTGCTCTCCACCATCGCTGTGTAAGCCCCCACTGCCCGCAGGGGCAGTCACTTAGCAAACAAAACTGAAGTGGAATATGTTTCAACCAGAGGCCTGGTGCACAAAAATTCATGCACTGGGGTGGGGGAGGAGGAGGTCCCTCAGCCTGACCTACACCCTCTCGCAATTTGGGACCCCTCAGGGGATGTCCACCTGCTGGCTTAGGCCTACCTAAGCTGGCAGTCAGACATCCCTCTGGCAGCCCGGGAGACCCCGGCAGCGAGGAGCAGGCCTAAGCTGCAGGACATTCTTATTGCTGCTGAGGAGACGAGAGAGGCCACTGCCACTGCTGCTGCACTTACGGCCGGCAGCTCCGCCTGTGGCTGAGCAGAGCTCCCCCTCTGGGAGCACACTGACCACCAGGGGGCAGCTCCTGCATTGAGCTGTGCATGTCATAGAGACCAGTCGTTCCTGGGTCATTCCACTGTTAGGGTCAATTTGTATATTACCCTTTATTACATAGGACACTGTGAGTGGTATGAGCTTGAGTCTACCAAAGGACATTGTGGACCCTGAGCCCTATGAGGGGTGTCTAGCAAAGGGAAATTGTGTATAATATGCTTGAGTCATGGACCTTCTTGACTTAACCACTGTAACTAATATAAGAAAGGAAAAGTAGATCCTTTTTAAATATATACGTTATTAATTTTTAGAGAGAGGGAGAGAGAAAGAGGAACATTAATGTGAGAGAGGAGCATTGATCAGCTGCCTCCTACCAGGCCAATGCAGGCATGTACCCTGACCAGGAATTGAACTGGCAACAATGATGCATGGGGACAATGCCTAACCAACTGAGCCACACCAGCCAGGGCAAAAGTAGATCCTTAATGTTTGTGATTATGCAGAGGCAGCAGAAGAGTGATTGAGAGTATAGGCTCTGGCTTGGCTGATGTGGTTCAGTGGTTGAACATCGATCCATGAATTAGCAAGTCACGGTTCAACTCTCAGTGACTGGGGTTTAGACTTGATCCCCAGTCCCCAATAGGGGGCATGCCAACGCTCTCTCCACTGAGCCAAACTGGCCAAGGTATCATTGATGTTTCTATCTCTCTCTTCTCAGAGAGAAGAAGAGAGAGATAGAAACCATGCCCCATCAGCTGCACCAGTTTTGTGTTGTTGGGTAAAGTACTAATCTCTCTGTTCTGGTTTTCTTTCCAAATGGGGATAATGACAGTCTCTGGTTGTCTAGTGGTTAGGATTCGGCTCTCTGTCTCTCTCTCTCTCGCTCTCTCTCTCTCTCTCTCTCTCTCTCCCAAATGGGGATAATGATGCCTCCTCCCTCCTGAGGCTGCTGTGAGGATGGAATGAGATGAAATGATTAGTGCAAAGACTTACACAGTGTCTGGATACATAATTTGCACTTGGTATCTGTGACTTCTACCTGAGCTTGTGGCTCTCCAAGGAAAAGCTTAGGTGTCCCTAACAGACAGGACTGAAAACAGACTGATAAATGCTTGCTCTTGGTTAGTCCATCAGCCCTCCTACACACACACACACACACACACACACACACACAGACATCTATGTATCTACGTACTTTTCTCCATGGTAACCTCATCCGCTTCTGAGCCTTATTTGCTCAGATTGAGAACAAAACAGTTGCCTGGGTTTCTGTTTTCTTCCTTATTATGCTTAGGTATTATCTGGGCTGGGCCTCTCAGAGTAAGGGGTCTCTGCAATTGCTTCATCTAACCTTTGGCTTGTGGGGGATGCTGACGGGAAACGGAAGGTAAAGAAGAGTCTATGGGAGAGCTTAGCAGGACTTCCTTGTCTACATGAGACTTTGAAAGAAATTCATTTAGCATATACACTGAGTGGCAGATTATTATGATCTCTGAAGGCATAACAATCTGGCCACTCAGTGTATATCCTATATAATAAAAGGCTAATATGCAAATTGTCCCCTGGACCAGGAGTTCAATCAGCAGGCAGGCTGGCCAACTGGCCATATTCCCTCCTCCTGGCCAGGCTGGCCAGACCCCACTCATGCACGAATTCATGCACCAGGTGTGTGTGTGTGTGTATATACACACACACACACACACACACACACACACACACACACACTGAGTGGCCAGATTATTATGCATTCAGAGATCATAATAATCTGGCCACTCAGTGTATTTATTGACCACAGATACCAGGTCAGGCCCATTTGCAGAGGCTAGGAATATAATAGTCCTCACAGGGCTTACACTGTATGGATAGAAATCAATAATAAAAATAGACAAATAGAATAAAGTATTATGAAGGGAACATGGATGGAGACAGACACAGAATGGGGTGGAAGAAGAGTGAGGAAAAGATCTCTTTGAGAAGGTGACATTTAAGCAGAACTGAAAGGTGAAAGGGGGTCAGTCAGGGGAAGAGCCTTCTGGGTAAACGAAACAGCAAGTGCAAAGGCCCTGAGGCGGGAAGCGCTTGTCCAGTTAAGGAATAGAAAGGAAGAGGGCGGGTGCAGGGAATGAAGTGGGGGACAGCAGGACTGTCTGGAAGAGCTGAGCCAGGAGGTCAGGTTTAGCGTGAGGGAAAGGAACTCTAAGGTGTTTTGAGCGGGAGATGCCATGACTTGATATGTTTGTGAAGATCCCTCTCCCCACGCCCACCTCACCCACAGGCCCAGCTGGCCCGGGCACTCTACGACAACACCGCCGAGTCCCCCCAGGAGCTGTCCTTCCGCCGTGGGGACGTTCTGCGGGTCCTGCAGAGGGAGGGTGCCGGTGGGCTGGACGGCTGGTGCCTCTGCTCCCTGCATGGCCAGCAGGGCATTGTGCCCGCCAACAGAGTGAAGCTCCTTCCTGATGGCCTGGCCCTCAAGCCCAGCCTTGCCCAGGTGCCCCCAGCCGAGCCTGGCTTACCACATCCAGCCCCAGAACACAGCAATGAAGACCAGGAGGTGAGAGTGAGAGCCCTCCCAACCCCACCCAGGAGACCCCTTTCCCTCTGCCAGTGCCTGCAGTGAGGCTGGGGGGCAGGGAGAGCCCCAAGGGGTTTTCTGCAGGAAGCCTGGCTGCAACCCTTCTGGCTTCTCCTTGCCCTTGGGACAGGGAGGGGTCGGAAGAGGTCGATGCTCCTTCAGGGCACATGTTATCTGATTCCCTGGCCCCCCCTCTTCCTGACCCACATGTCTTGGTTCCCCAGGTGTATGTGGTGCCACCGCCAGCTCGGCCCTGTCTGACCTCAGGATCTCCAACTGGACTCTGCCTGCCTGCCCCTGACCCCATCTACAAGGTCCCCAGAGGCAGCGGGACCCAACTGGCTGCCCCTGGAGGTGTGCTGGAGGTGAGGACTAGAGATCTGTGTATATACAGCTCTGGAGGGAGTCCCGTGCTGACCCTGATGATAACTAGCTGCTCCCTCTCCAGGTCTACGACGTGCCCCCCTCTGCCCTCCGAGCTCCCTCCAGTGACCCCTATGACTGCCCTGCCTCCTTTACCCGCCCTCTGGCCCCGGTCGCCCCACAATCCCCTGGAGAGGACGAAGCTCCCTACGATGTGCCTCTGACCCCAAAGTCACCGTCAGAGCCGGACCCAGATCTGGAGTGGGAAGAGGGCCGCGAACCAGAGCCCCCCCTCTATGCTGCCCCCTCCAACCTGAAGCGGGCCTCAGCTCTGCTCAATCTGTATGAAGCGCCTGAGGAGCTGCTAGCCGACGGGGAAGGCAGTGCCGAGGAGGGCATCTACGACGTGCCCCTGCTGGGGCCAGAGGCGTCCCCGGAGCCCCCGGGAGCCTCCGCCTCCAATGACCCGGACACCCTGGCTCCGCTTCTAGCCAGAAGCCCTCCGCCCTCACACAGGCCCCGGCTGCCCTCTGCAGAAAGCCTGTCCCGCCGCCCTCTGCCCGCCCTGCCTGTCCCCGAGGCCCCCAGCCCTTCCCCGGCTCCTTCTCCTGCTCCGGGCAGAAAGGGCAGCATCCAGGACAGGCCTCTGCCCCCACCTCCACCCCGCCTGCATGGCTATGGGGGCCCTAAGGCCGAGGGGGAACCAGAGGGCCGGGAGGCAGAGGACAGTGCAGCAGGACTCCACAACGAGTACGAGGGCATCCCGGTGGCCGAGGAGTACGACTACGTCCACCTAAAGGTGAGCTCGCCTCCAGCCGCCCCTCCCACAGTGCCCCCAGAGAGCCACAGGGAAGAAGCCTGGGGCCCACACGCAGACCCTCCCTTCCCCCTTTCCTCCTTCCCCTCCACTGGCTCTGCACCCTCTGGCCTGGGACCCTGGTACTTGGCCACACCACTTGTACCCATGCTATGTTCCCCCCTAAAATCATCCCCGGGCCCCTGAGCACTCTGACTGGCCACCAGAGCTGTCTCAGACCTGGAGTCCAGGACTGCAACCTCTGATGGCAGCAGAGACCTCCAGAAGGAAGGGGAAGTGGAGAGGGCCAAGGAGGCAGCCCTGCCCTGTTCCTCCACCCCTGCACTGAGACCCTGACCCTTCCTGCAGGGGATGGATAAAGCTCAGGGATTGGGGCCCCCAGAGAAAGCCTCGCCAGGGGATCCTGAAGTGCCGGAGAGGGGGCCCCCGGAACAGCAGGTAATCCTGTGGGCGCGATGCTGGGGAAGGGGGGGCAGGAATGGAGGAGGAATATTCTTCACTGAACTGATAGGATAGGGATAGAAGCTCATTGACACTGAGCAGTTGGAGAGAAGACACGAGGAAGAGGAAGGAGCTGGAACTTAGAAAAGGATTTCAGGAATTCAGAAATCGGGGAAAGAATGTTGGAGAGGAATCAGAAAACCAAGCAGTTGAGAGCAGCAAGTTTTTGGGCTGTGGGTCAGAGTGGGGCCAGGTGATTTCGGAGGCTCCTTCAGCTGAATTCCTGGGTTCCTAAGAGACCCAGCTCCTAATCCCAGCTCCACCACACAGACGCCAGGAGCTCTGCAGTGGCTGGTTAATCTCTCCCGGCCTCAGGAAAGTGAGGTGGTCTCCTCAGTGCTAATCACAGTGGCTACAATTTATCAAGCATTTACCAAGTGCCAGATCCTGTGCTAAGCACATCACGTGAGTCAACACTAACCATAGCCATAGAAAGTGCTCATGCAGGGCGTCCAGTGTGCAGTGCTCTGCTCTGAGCCCTTTTTTTTTTTTTTTTTTAATATATTTTTATTGATTTTTTTACAGAGAGGAAGGGAGAGAGATAGAGAGACCAGCTGGCTCTTGTACACCCCCTACCGGGAATGTGCCCACAACCAACGTACATGCCCCTGACCGGAATAGAACCTGGGACCTTTCAATCCGCAGACCGACGCTCTACCACTGAGCCAAACCGGTTTCGGCCTTTGCCCTTTCTGTGTACTGTTTTGAGTTATCTTCACTGCAGCCTCAGGGGGCAGGTACTAGACCTGCACTGTCCAATACTGTAGCCACGTGTCACATATGGTTATTGATTACTTGAAATGTGGCTAATCTGAATGGAAGTATGTGTGCTATAAAATGCACACCAGATTTTGCCGATGTCGTATGAAAAAAAAATCTCAACAATTTATATATTAAGGATATGTTGAAAGTAACATTTTTGTATATTTGGAGCTTAAAAACAAAATTTCTTTTTACTTTTCTTCATGCGGCTACTATAGATGTTACAATTACATGTGTGTTCACGTTATGTTTATTTTAGACAGTGGAGAACTAGATTCCCCAGTTTAGAGATAAGAAAATAAAGACATTCAGAGACTTGTTTGAGGTTGTTGGAATCCAGATTTGTCTGGTATAAACTCTGAGCACTTTCCTGCCTCTTGCTAGGAGCACCTAAATGTCCTGATGGCAGAGGCAAGAGCTGAAGGGACTGCACTAGGAAGAAAGGAAGGGCTGGGGAAACAAGGGAGGGGAGGAGAGAGGAAGGGAGAGCAGAAGGGACACTAATGAGAGCCATTCCACTGACCACTCCTCTTGCCCTCAGGAGGTCCCGTCCCCAGGGGAGCATCTGGCTCTGCCTGCCGGAGACCGGCAGCTCCTGCACTTCTATGCCGGGCAGTGCCAGAGCCACTACTCAGCACTGCAGGCAGCCGTGGCAGCCCTGATGTCCAGCAGCAGGGCCAACCAGCCCCCGCGCCTCTTCGTGCCCCACGGCAAGCAGGTGGTGGTGGCCGCTCACCGCCTTGTGTTTGTTGGGGACACGCTGGGCCGGCTGGCCGCCTCCGCTCCTCTGCGGGCACAGGTTGGGGCTGCGGGCACAGCGCTGGGCCAGGCGTTGCAGGCGACTGTGCTCGCTGTCAAGGGGGCCGCTCTGGGCTACCCATCTGGTTCTGCAGCCCAAGAGATGGCACAGTGTGTGACCCAGCTGGCGGGGCAGGCCCTGCAGTTCACCACCCTGCTCGCCAGCCTGGCCCCCTGAGCGCCCCCAACCCTGCTCTGCCACTCCCCCGCCTGCCAGAACTCTCTCAGGTCCTTGGGCAGCTGGAGTCTCTGCCTTAGGCACTAGGAGAAGTGGCAGTCTGTCCCCATTCCTATCCCTTCCAGTCATCTCAATCTCAGAGGCGTCTCTTCCCTCCATCCACAGCTTTTTTGTATGAGCCATTTTGTATAAATTATTTTTATTTAATATTAATCCCTGCTTTGTCAGGAGCAGGTGCCAGGCCCTCTGGGGCAGCGGGGAACTGGACTCTTCCTGCTCTGCCAGCCTGGGGTGGAGGTACTCTGTCATGGCACTGCCGCCCACCTCTGCAAGCTTGGCCCCACAGAGACTCAGGTGACGGAAACCTGGGCCACCCGGAGCCCTTTCCAGTCCTGTCTCCTGGCTGTAGAGCACCCGTGCCTCACTGTTAGTTGAGAACAAGAGCAGTACACTGATTGCCGGGAAAGCGAAGGTCTGGGAGAAGCCAGAGACCTCCTTCCAGCAGGAAGCTGGAAAGGGCTGGCCCCAGGCACTGGGTGTGCGTCTCAATAAAACCTGCTGTCTGGCTCCCAGACTGTTCCTTGAGAGCCTGGGGGCAGAGTGTGTGTGTGTGTGTGTTTGTGTGTGTGGAGGGGGCATAGGTCTAATGCCCCTAAGCCCAACCTATGGGTACACACTATGGACAGGTTGCCATACTGTATGTTGTTAACATACAGGTTAACAACTGTTCACTCAGCAGGTTCTCGACTCCCATGACGAGCTATAGTTCTGAAGGTACATTGTGGGGGTGGAATGGACACAAACAAATCAAATAAATGTTTTTTTAAAAATCTGCCACAGATTTGACAGTTCCTGGTAACAGAAATAGACAGGGTGATGAGAAGAACTAACTAGATGAGGGGAAGAGGTCATGGAAAGACTTTAGGATGATGGGAGGTGATATCAGAACTGAAAGAATTTTAAGAGATCAACTTGGAATTAGAGCAAGTCCCAGAAACATCATGTACCTGTGTGTCTGCAGTAAGTCTGTCAGCTCCTCGGAGTCTGTTTCAGCTTTGATATGAGATTGATCATAATATTCTCATGGGGTTGTTGCAAGGTCCTAACAAGATAACGCATATGGCCGAAACTGGTTTGGCTCAATGGATAGAGCATCAGGCTGTGGACTGAAAGGTCCCAGGTTCGATTCTGGTCAAGGGCATGTACCTTGGTTGCGGGCACATCCCCAGTAGGGGGTGTGCAAGAGGCAGCTGATCGATGTTTCTCTCTCATCAATATTTCTAACTCTCTATCCCTCTCTCTCTTCCTCTCTGTAAAAAAAATCAATAAAATATATTAAAAAAAAAAAAAAAAGATAACGCATATGAACAGCCCAGCACCACAGAAAGTTAAGGCAATGATTCCAGGACAGACACAAGAACACAGACACATAAACCCTCAGGGGATGTTGGCTGTGCCAGCACCGAAGTAAACCCTGAGGAGGTGCTGAAATGAGTTGGGGGAAGGGAAGTGGTGAAAGGCTGCTAAAGGTATCAGAAGGGTTTCCCATATTTGGAAAATTTCAGAATGAGAACATTTCAGAAGCTGGTTCAGTGGAGAGAAGAAGGAATGGAAGACCCCTGCCCTGGGCACTGTGCTTTGGAAGGCTCCACTCTGGTGCTCTTCCAGCTATGTGCCATGGAGTGAGGAAGCCAGGCCTCTTCTGTGCACACACCCAGTCCCCTTCTGGGCCATACTCCAGAACTCCAAGATTCTAGGGCCCACATGGACCTCTTCCCTGGGTTGCCCATCCAAGTGTAGACCAAACTACCTGACAGTCAGACAGGACAATCCTTTCCCCTCCTTATCTGAGGTAGGAGAAAAAAAAGTGCCTGTTAGGTATCAAACCTCTTAGACAAGTGTATCTCTAATGGGGATTTGGTTAAAAGGCCTGTGAGTCTGCACTTCTAACAAGCTCCCAGGTGAGGTGGGTGCTGCTGGTCTGTAAACCACACTGAGGAGCAATTCTGGGAGTTAGGGAAGGCTTCTCAGGCAAATAATGCTGGAGTTGACAGCTGAACGATAAGGACTTGGCTAAGGGGGAGGAGAAGCCTTCTTATATAAGACAAGCTTGTGGCGTTAAAAAAAAAAAGAGTCCAGTGTGACTGCAGGGAATGTTTGAGAAGTGAGACGCAGCTGCAGAGAGCATGGGGCAAGCATGCAGAACCATGTAGGAGCTGTCTAACACACTATCGACCTTGATGGTGAGGAGAAGCCATTCAAGGTTGTCAAGCAGGAAAGGGACATGAACAGATCTGCATTTTAAAAAGATCATTCCACCTGCACTCTATGTAACAGATGGGGAAGGGATGTTGAAACACGGTGGACACGGAGCACCAGTTAGGAATTAGGAGGCTAAAGCAATCTATGCGCCAGGCAGCTTGACTAATGGTGATAGAGATAGGGAAAAACGGAAAAGGAGAATTACATAATAGTAAATGGGAGGATTTTGAAAAGGATTTGATGGGGCGGTAAGGAAGAGGGCACTCTGAGGACTGTCACCTGAGCATCTGGCCACAGTTGGATGACGAGGGGGCCATTCACGTAGGACACACTTGAAGACAACCAGGTTAGCAGGGGAAGAGCATTGGGTTTGAGGTCCCTATGAGTCATCCAAGGTAAGAGGTCAGAGAAGAAGGCTTCAGGGCTTGGACTCAGATGAGAGGTGGGAGTGAAACGGATGGTCAGCAGAGACTGGAGAAACAGATTTCTCCCTCCCCTACTCCCTAGCAGGGCCTAGCTGCATAAAAACTCTCTACTATTGCTTTTTTCGGAAGATGAATTTGAGAGCTCTTGCTCTTCTGTCTTCTTGATTTGGCCAAATCAAGTAAACCTTTATCTCCAAGCACCATTGTTTCAGTGTTTATCTTACTGGTGCAGTGGGCATGCAAACCTGACTTTTGGGAGGCAGTTCAGTAAATGTCAGTCTGGGGACCAGATATGTGTTGGTTTGTATTGTTTATATTGAGGGTGACGCTGTGGGCATGGGCGAGAGTCCCCAGGTGCAGGGAACAGTGTGAGCTAAGGACCTAGGGAGGACTTAGCCGCTGAGGACCAGACCCGGAGTGATGAAGAAGAGAAGGATGAGCCTGCAGTAGAGAAAGAAAATCAAGCCCTAGCTGGTTTGGCTCGCTGGATAGAGTATTGACCTGTGGATTAAAGGGCCCTAGGTTTGATTCTGGTCCAGGGCACATGCCTGGGATGTGCACTCCATCCCCAGTAGGGAGCCTGCAGGAGGCAGCCAATCAGTGATTCTCTCTCATCACTGATGTATCTCTCTTTCCCTCTCCTTCTCTGAAATCGATAAAAATATTTTTTAAACTTTCCTTGGGGTGGGGGGCTTTTTTAAAAGAAGAGAAAGAGAGCCAGGAGAATGTAGGACTTAGCAGTCAAGGAAGAAGGTACTTAGAGGAATGGGTGATCAACAGTGCCAAATGCTGTTGAGAAATGGTGACTCAACCTGAGTGAAGGCAAAGTGGGCTTGTGGGGAAGAGCAGCCAGGGCTGAGCACAGCACCCAACCCAGCCCTCCAATGCATGTCCAGAGCTGCAATGGTCATCACACTCTTCTGTCCCCGCAGTAAGCTACTCCAGGGTGTCTTGTTCATCCTATTATATCTAAGCCTAGCTCAAGGCCAGGCACAGAGTAGAAGCTTTATACATTTTATTGATGAATCTATGAGTGGATGGATGAATGGGTGGATGGTTGATAAGAACTGGAAGCAAAGAAGGGATCTCTGGCATTTGCCTGAGTTAGCTACCATCCTTCAGCCTTTTTCCCTTTTTTTTACCGCAATTGCCCTCAGACGCAGGGAACAGAGACAGAGCCCATGCCCTCCCTCTCCTGGGCCCTGGCCCCCCTTCCTCTCTCTGACGAAGAGTCTGGACTGAAGGTTCTGCTGACGTGAGAAGGGGAGGAGAGTCTGGAGGAAGGGGAGGAGACATCGGCGCTGCGATCGCAGAGACGGAGGAGGCGCCCGCGGCTGCAGAGCTGCAGAGCGTGGGGTCTCCGCGCTCCGGGTCCGAGCGTCCAGCGCACCCTGGGCCAGAGGACCGCGCATCCTTCCGGCGAGGCCCCGCAGGGCCCCTGAGGTCGGCAAGCTGGCTCCCCGCGTGGCCACCGGGACCCCGGAGCCCAACGGCGGGGGCGGCAGCAAAATCGACAGCAATGTAGAGATCACCCCCAACCCCAACGGAGTAAGTGCCTGCGCGCCCAGGGCTGCGCCATCGCCTCCGCACCGCGCCTGGCGTTTTCCTGGCGTTTTCCTCCCCGCACCCCGACCCCTGCCTGCCTTTCTCGCTCCAGCGCCCGCCCTCCTCCCTTGCTTTGCAGTTTCCCCCGGTTCACCCCCTTCTCCTGCTTCTCCCGCCCCTCCCCCTCCCCTCCCCCCCCCGCACCCCTCCCTACCTCTCAGCAGGTCGGAAGCCTCGGAGATGCGGTGCCCGCCGAGCAGCTGCAGGGGGAGCGGCAGCGCGAGCGGGAGGGGGCGGGCGAGGCGGGCCGCGGCGGGCTGGGCAGCAGCCTGTCGCTGGCCGTGCCCTCCGGGACCCTCAGCTTCGAGGCGCTGCTCGCTCAGATAGGGGCGCTGGGTGGGGGCCAGCAGCTGCAGCTCGGCCTCTGCTGCCTGCCTGTGCTCTTCGTGGCGCTGGGCCTGGCCTCGGACCCCATCTTCACGCTGGCGCCCCCGTTGCACTGCCACTACGGGGGCCCCAACGCCTCCGGCTGGGAGCAGCCCCCCAACGCCAGCGGGGTCGGCGTCAGCGGGGTCAGCGTCGCCAGCGCCGCGATACCCGCCACCCGCATCGGCGCCACCAGCACAGACCCTTCGTGCAGCGGCTTCGCCCCGCCGGACTTCAACCACTGCCTCAAGGACTGGGACTACAACGGGCTGCCCGTGCTCACCACCAACGCCATCGGCCAGGTGAGGCTCCGGGGGCCTGAGGGGGAGCGGGCTGAGAGCCACCCACACAGGGCCTCACCCCCGCTCCCTCCTTCTTATCTCCCCAGTGGGATCTGGTGTGTGATCTGGGCTGGCAGGTGATCCTGGAGCAGATCCTCTTCATCCTGGGCTTTGCCTCCGGCTACTTGTTCCTGGGCTACCCTGCGGACAGGTGAGGGCTGCCAGAGGCAGGGCGAGCAGAGAGGAGGGGTGCTAGGCAGGCGAGCTCAGGCAGCTGGTGCTGGCAAGAGGCCGAAGAGTAGTCGCTGGACTCTGCAGCCTTCTTGGGACTTCGGTTCAATGACATGCACCCCCCTCCCTGTCTCAACCGCACTCCCCGACAAGAAATACTTCTTCTGCAACAGGGAATGACTTCACCCCAACCCCCCGTATTCATGGATCAACGGCATCGTCTCCAAAGACCATAGCTCCAGCTCCATGACCAAAAACCCTATCTCTACATATAAAAAGTCCTAGGTCCTCTCTGTTATTCCTATCATCACTAACCACCTCCCTCACCATCCTCATGGATTAATAGACTCATCCCCATTAATAGCCCCATCCATGTGGACTATTCGCTCCATCTCAATGGCCTTATTTCTAAAGATAATTATGTTAATTCCTAACCCCATTCCCATTGACCAGTACAGTTCAAATTTACAAATGATTCCACCCTCATGGGTCAATAGTCCAATCCCCACAGATCAATGACCACAAGAGCACCACTCCCCCAGAAATTAAAAGTTCCATCCTCACGGGTCTTCAGTGCTATCAGAGCCTCTCAGACCAAATACCCCTTTTCCATGAACCAGTGGCCTCACCTCAAGGATCAGCTTATTCCGCACCAACCAATAGCTTTCCCCAGGGATCAGAACTCCCGTCACCTCTGATTCTCAATACTGTCGCCACTGACCAAGTGCTCCATCTCCACTCACCATCCCCATGGAGTATTAGGCTAACTTCCACTTAACCTACAGTTCTATCCAAATGGATTAATAGCTCAACTCTCATGGATCAAAGGCAACCCAGCATTCAATAATCCAATTCCCTAAAATCAATACCTATCCTTACTGCCCAGGAGTCACAAATTCTTTTGGGCAAATTATTCTAAAGCCATAGGTCAATAGCCCATCCTCATGCATTAATGGTCTCATGCTCACAGACCAGTAGCATTATTCCTATGAAATCATAGCCTCATCACCTAAGTCCAATAATTCAGTCTTCTAAATTCAGTAGATTTAGTTCAATTAGCCAATAAACTCATCCCATGGAAATATGGCCCTATTCTATTGGGTCAATAGTAGTACTCCCAATGACCAGTGATCCCAATCTTCATCTCCATAAATCTTTTGTATTATCCCCAAAGATCATAGCCTGGTCTCCAAGGATCAGTAGCCCTATCCATCATCATGGACCAATAGTCTAATTTCCCCTTCTGTGACCCAGTCCTCACTGATTATCCCCCTGGATTCATAGATTCATCCCCACTGAACAGTAGCCCCACCCACATGGACTAAGATTCCCCCACCCCATGAGGCAATGGCTCCATCCCCTAAGATCAATTGTCCAGTCTTTAAAATTAGGAATTCTCTCCACTGATCCATAGTCCTAATCCATGGATTAAATTTCCATGCCCATGGATTAGCAGCTCCATCTTCTGGCCAGTGGCCCCATTTCTCCTCACCATCCTTATGGACAAACAGACCCATGCCCCAACCCCATGGGACAATGGCCTCAGCCTCCAAAATCAATTATTCAATTCCCTAAGATCAATAGCTCCATCTTCACTGACCAATACTATCCCCAGGCACAAGTGGCCAATGGACCCACCTCCATTGATCAGTAACTCCAACCCCGTACACATATCAATGTCCCCATCTTCTCTGACCAGTCTGAGACAAGATTCATCCCAACTGACCTGTACCACTAAGGATGGATGGTTCCACGTCCCCTTAGCAATATCCCATCCCCTCTCATGATTGGTCTCACTTCCACAGAGAAATGCCCTAAGCTCTGATCAACAGCCCCATCCACAAGTCTGGTCCCACCCCCACAGAACCCAAGTGCCTGGTTGCCAGACATAACTTACCCATGGTCCCAATCCCTTCCATCTTCTCTAGCCTCATTCCAACTCTTGCTCCCAAGCCCTCATCCTCATTCCTCCAGCTGTGAATCAGGCAATGGGGCCCCACCCAGCAATGCCTCCCCCAGAGGGTTTGGGTGACCAGAGGCCCTGCACACTTTCCAGGTTTGGCCGCCGTGGGATTGTGCTGCTGACCTTGGGACTGGTGGGCCCCTGTGGAGTGGGAGGGGCTGCTGCAGGCTCTGCCACCGGCGTCATGGCGCTTCGATTCCTCCTGGGCTTCCTGCTTGCCGGAGTTGACCTTGGTGTCTACCTGATGCGTGAGTGGCACCCTCCAAAGAGGTCCTTCCCTTGGGGCTCACCCCTGCCTGTGTCAACCCAGGCCATTCCCACTGCCCCCTAGGTCCCCTCAGTCCCTTCTTCAGCCCCAAATTTCAGCTGTCCAGACTCTAAGCTGTCTTTCTGCCCAGGTCTTTGAAGGATCCAGGGGTCTTTCATCTATCCACACCCAACTCCTTCCACTATCTTTAAGATTTCCTTGCCCTAGACTTATTGCTGTCAGGTAACAGTCCTATTAAAAAAAAAAAAAAATCCTAAGTAGCTGTGTGACCTTGAACAAGGGTTGATATGAAGGTCATATAAGGTCTGATATGAAAGAGCCTGTAATTGAGAATGCTAAACACCCACCAGGGACTTTGACCCTCCAGTCCTCCCACATTTGAGCAGGAGAGGGGAGAGGACTGAACCATTTCTCCACTCTTTGCCATGTAGAGGTTAGTCTGTGGGAGGTGACAGCTGCAGCCTCCAATCAGGGTCTGACCTCACTCTCTGTCCTCCTCCCTCCCTCCCTCCCTCTCTCCTTTTCTCTCCCATGCCTCCTGCCTCCTTGACCTCTCCTCCCTGTCCCTGCTATATCTCCAGGCCTGGAGCTGTGCGACCCAACCCAGAGGCTTCGGGTGGCCCTAGCAGGGGAGTTAGTTGGGGTGGGGGGACACTTCCTGTTCCTGGGCCTGGCCCTTGTCTCTAAGGACTGGCGATTTCTGCAGCGAATGATCACCGCTCCCTGCATCCTCTTCCTGTTTTATGGGTCAGTATCACCCTTTACCTGCTGTTTGGGTCATTCTCAGCTCCCCCTCCATCTTAGCTCTAGCCCAGAGACCCCCTCTTCTCCACTACCCTTTGTCCAGGCCTGCCCCGCCCCCATCCCTCAGAGGGGGGCAGTTTCCTACCCCTGTGTCAGAAGACGGGAGGCTTCACTGTGTACCCCACACCCCTGCCCCCAGCTGGCCTGGTCTGTTTCTGGAGTCTGCACGGTGGTTGATAGTGAAGCGACAGATTGAGGAGGCCCAATCGGTGCTGAGAATCCTGGCTGAGCGGAACCGGCCCCATGGGCAGATGCTGGGAGAGGAAGCCCAGGAGGCCCTGCAGGGTAGGACACAGGGGTCCCTACAGATGCCCTCTCACATGCGCACAGTGCCCTCTGCATGGTTATAGCTGTGCACCTTCTCCCAAGGTCCCCACCACTCACGTGGGAGGACTCTGGGTTCTCTGCTGCTCCTTCTGACAGCTCCTCCCTTTCTCTCCCAAAGACCTGGAGAACACCTGCCCTCTCCCTGCAACATCCTCTTTTTCCCTCGCATCCCTCCTCAACTACCGCAACATCTGGAAAAACCTGCTCATCCTGGGCTTCACCAAGTGAGCCTGGGGTCTGAGCCAAGGGCCAGGCCAGTAGCTGGGATGGGGGCTGGCAGGGTGGGGAAGGCATGAGGACCCCCGCCGAGGGCCACCAGAGCCGTGGAAAGCTGCGGTTGGGGATGCAGGCACCTTTCTGTTTTCCCACTCCTTCTCACAGCTTCATTGCCCACGCCATTCGTCACTGCTACCAGCCTGTGGGAGCAGACGGAGGGAGCCCGTCAGACTTCTACCTGTGCGCCCTGCTAGCCAGCGGCACGGCAGCCCTGGCCTGTATCTTCCTGGGGGTCACCGTGGACCGATTTGGCCGTCGGGGCATCCTGCTTCTCTTGATGACCCTCACTGGCATTGCGTCTCTGGTCCTGCTGGGCCTGTGGGATTGTGAGCATCCTCCCTTCCCCATACAATGGGCTCAGCAAAGGAACCAGGCAGAGGAGCATCAGACAGGCCTCCTAAGACAAGACCAGCCCCTGCCCAGATCTCCACAGTCCTTCCCTGGCAACGTACCCTATCTGTTCTCCCAATCAATTAGTGAATGCCCCGAGCCCACCCACCTAGCCATAGGATCAGAGAGCAAGGGGATGAAGCGAGGGACTAGGCCACACATGATCTCCCGCCTCCATTCATGCTTCCTCCTTGGTCCTCCAGATCTGAATGATTCCGCCATCACCACCTTCGCTGTGCTTGGCCTCTTCTCCTCCCAAGCCGCTGGAATCCTCAGTACCCTCCTTGCTTCTGAAGTCATCCCCACCACTGTCCGGTGAGAGTGAGGGTGTTGCCAGGGTCTGGGCCAGGCCTCCCGGCCATCCATCAAGGACAGGGCCCTTGAAGGATGAGGAGGGAAGGCTGCTAGAGAAGGGCAGGGAAAAAACCCACAGCTAGAGACTGAGTGCCAACTCCATCTCTCCCAGGGGCCGAGGCCTGGGTCTGATCATGGCACTGGGGGCACTTGGAGGGCTGAGTGACCCCGCCCAGCGCCTGCACATGGGCCACGGAGCCTTCCTGCAGCACGTCGTGCTGGCTGCCTGCGCCCTCCTCTGCATCCTCAGCATCATGCTTCTGCCGGAGACCAAGCGCAAGCTCCTGCCCGAGGTGCTCCGGGATGGGGAGCTGTGCCGCCGGCCTTCGCTCCTGCGGCAGCCACCCCCTAGCCGCTGTGACCACGTCCCGCTGCTTGCCACCCCCAACCCTGCCCTCTGAGTGGCCTCTGAGCTCCCTGGCAGGAGGCTGGCCCATACGGAAAGGTGACAGAAGGCCCTGCCTGGTAAGACAATTGGGAGGTTCAGAGGCATCTCCCGCCAGCCATCAAGTAGAGCTCAGAGGGCTGCCCCTACCCCGTCTCCTCCCTGCTGCTTGTGTTCACTCCCTTGGCAAGAGTCAGGGGGCAGGGAGAGAGCTCCACGCTGTAACCACCTGGTCTGGGCTTCACCCTGTGCCCAAAGACATCCTCCCAGACCTCATTCTTTCTTGCTCTGTCATTCTGTTTCAATAAAGACACTGGTGAAATGAGCATACCATAGCCTGGACTTCCCTCCCTTTTGTTGTCCTTCCACTACCTCCTGGGGGAAGGCTTCTCAGTGGGACTAAAACCAATGACAATCTCCCTCCCCCTCCCTATGCCGTGTCCTCGCTGCGCACGCCCCCCCCCCCTCCCATGTGAGCTTATAGATAGCTACTGCCTGTTACTGATTGCTGTGCTGCTGGGACTGGGTTAGGCACTTTACAAACTTCATTTAATCACTTAATCCTTACAACACTGCAAGGAAGGTGTTTGGAACAATAAAAACGAATTCCAATGAACTTAAACAAAAAGGAAAATTATTAGAGGGGTGCGGTGGGGAGCTAACAGAATGGAAGGAGAAGCAGAACTAGACATAAACGGTCAGGAACAGCCTAGCTGGTTTGACTCACTGGATAGAGCATCAGCCTGCAGACTGAAGTGTCCCGGGTTCAATTCCAGTCAAGGGCACATGCCCAGGTTGCAGGCTCTATCCCCATTAGGGGGTGTGCAGGAGGCAGCCAATCAATGATTCTCTCTCATCATTCTTTTTTTTTTTAATATATATTTTATTGATTTTTGTACAGAGAGGAAGGGAGAGAGATAGAGAGTTTGAAACATCAATGAGAGAGAGTCATTGATCAGTTGCCTCTTGCACACCCCCTACTGGGGATATGCCCGCAACCAAGGTACATGCCCTTGACCAGAATCGAACCCGGGGCCCTTCAGTCCCCAAGCCGACGCTCTATCCATTAGCCAAACCAGTCCCAGCGTCTCTCTCATCATTCTTGTTTCTATCTCTCCCTCTCCCTTCCTCTCTAAAATCAATAAAAATGTATATTTTTTCAAAGTTCAGGAACCAGGGGAAGGTCCTCGGTGTCCAGGGAAATATTTAGAACCAGTAATATTTTTGTCACCTGGGTGAATAAACTCCAATGAGATTCAATCTTTGGGTCACCCCACTGAAGAGTCATTTCCAGAGAGCAAGTGACTGGCCAGCCTGAGTAACATGCCACCCCTGCCATACCACTGACTACTGGGGAGAGGGAAAGCAACACCTGAGTGCTGTTAGCAGAAGCAGGACTGGATATTGTACGGGTAAAACAATGGATGCTCACTACCGTATTCTTTTACTAGTGCAGATGAGAAAACTGATGCTCTGAGAGACTCAGTAATAATGAGTGCCAGAGCTGGGATTAATTAGATCCGGAGCTGGAGCTCTCCATTGATGTATACTGTAGCCACCTTTCCAACTCTTTCCAAGCTTGGGCACTCTCTTGGAAGTGAGGGGTGAGCTTCTAGGCACTCGGTGGTGGGGCCGTAGGAGACTAGAATTTCCACCTCTGGGTCTGCCTCTCAGACCAGCCCTGGCCTGGCTTTGCCACTTTGGGCAAATCTTTAAACCGTCAGCTTCCTTCAAAGGTTCCTTCAACAAAGGTTGCTCCGAGGTTAAACAAGATAACATAAGTGCCTCTGAAATTATTCCCACTAGATGGTAAGCTCCTTAAGGGAAGAAACTTGGTCTTACTCAGCTTTGAAACACCAAATTCTGACACATGCTAGAAGCCCAAAAAGTTAACATTCGTTCATTCTTTTAGCAAACAGTGCCTGATTTATAGGTAAGTACCAACCAAGATACAAAGCACAGGCCATTCTTGAAGAGTAATTCATCTAAGCCCTTACTGGCTTGACTCAGTGGATAGAGTCAGCCTGTGGACTCAAGGGTCCCAGATTTGATTCTAGTCAAGGGCATGTACATTGGTTGCAGACACATACCCAGTAGTGGGTATGCAGGAGTCAGCTGACCAATGTTTCTCTCTCATTCATGTTTCTAACTCTCTTATCTTCCTCCCTTCCTCTTGATAAAAAAAAAATCAATAAAATATTTTTAAGCCGAAACCGGTTTGGCTCAGCGGTAGAGCTTCGGTTTGCGGACTGAAAGGTCCCAGGTTCGATTCTGGTCAAGGGCATGTACATTGGTTGTGGGCATATCCCCAGTAGGGGGTGTGCAAGAGGCAGCTAGTCGATGTTTCTCTCTCATCAATGTTTCTAGCTCTATCTCTCTCCCTTCCTCTCTGTAAAAAATCAATAAAATATATTTTAAAAATATATATGTATTTTTAAGAGTAATCCATCTAATGCTATATATATTAAAGAGGAGGGAGAGGCCAGTGGTTTGGACCACCAAAAGGCTGCATTTTGAAGGAAGTAAGACTTTCTTAGAGGTAGGAAGCCCTCAGGCAAGAGTCCAGGAGACAGACACAGTGTTCTCAACTCAAAGGATAAAGGGAGAGCAAAGGCCTGGAGCTAGGAAAGCGTGGCTTGGTCTTGAAGAGAGGGATTCTTAGAAAAATAAAAAATTGGAGGCCAGCCTTTTTCAGAGAAGATAGGACCATTACCCACAGCTTCCCACAGCACCAGTGTTCCTATCTCCTTCCCCTCTCCCAATCCATTCTGAGGCCATGCTACTGGGTTCAGTAATAATAATAATATTATCTGAGAACTCATAGGAATTTAATCTCCACGTCCCCTGACATAGGTATTATCATTTTCCTCCTATTTAACTACTGAGAAAATTGAAATGAGTGAAAATCAGGGACCTGCCATTAAGTGGCAGTGCTAGGCCTCAAACCCCTTCTGGCTACCCTTTCTACACCACGGTTCCTTCACAGTTATAAACTGCATCACACATTCTGTAGAATAATGTCTGTGGAGTTTTAACTGACTCCACTATTGACCTTTTTAAAAATATTTTAATTGATTTCAGAGATGAAGGGAGAAGGGGATAGAGATAATAACATCAATGATGAGAGAGAATCATTGATCGGCTGCCAAGGTTATAGAACCAAAGTTTCAGGTTTTGTGCCCAGTCAGGGCACATACAAAAAGCAACTAATGAATGCATAAATAAGCGAAACAACAAATTGAAGTTTTTCCTCTCCCACTCTCTCTTTCTCTACCTTCTTCTTCTCTCTCTCTCAAATCATTAAATAAAAAATTTAAAAACATAATGAGAGCATTTGCAGAGAACGGATAAAGCACAGACACTTGTTCCCAAGCAATTTGCAGTCTAGGTGGAAAGGATCAATGTGTATAGCTAAAAAAAAAACTAAGATCTTGTCAGTTGCTCTAAAATTTACCAACCATATGATCTCATTGGATCCTCATCAATAACCCCATGAAAAAACGATGATTATTTTTGTGGCTTTTACTAAGATTTGAAAGGTAATGTAGTCAAGGTTCTATGACTGGTAAGCAATTAGAGTAGTCAAATCTTGAAACTGGGAGCCTCAATCTTCTTACTAAATACCAGATAGAAAATATGTCTAAACACTGTGAGATAAAAGTATTATCTACTTTTTTTAAATAAATCTTTATTGTTCATATTATTACAAATGTTCCTCATTTTTTTTCCCCTCCATTGCTCCCCTTCACCAGGTTCCCACCCCACCCTCTGCCCTTTCCACACCCCCCATTGTCCTCATCCATAGGTGCACAGTTTTTGTTCAGGCTTTTCCCGCACCCCCCACTCCCTTTCTCCCCCGAGTGGAATCGTCAGTCCACTCCCCTTCCATACCTCTGATTCTATTATATTCTCTGTTAATATTGTTCATCAGGTTTTTTAATTCCCTTGGCTTTTAGTTTCAGTTGTTGATAGTTATGTATTTGTTGATCATAATTTTTATCTATATCTTCTTCTTCTTAAAGAACCCCTTTCAGCAATTCATATAATTCTGGTTTGGCGGTGATGAACTCCTTTAGCTTTTTTTTATTAGTGAAGCTCTTTATCTGGCCTTCGATTTTGAGTGATAGCTTTGCTGGGTAGATTATCTTTGGCTGTAGGTTCTTGCTATTCATCACCATGAATATTTCTTGCCATTTCCGTCTGGCCTGCATGGTTTCTGTTGAGAAATCGCTCACAATCATATGGGTGTTCCTTTATAGGTAACTACCTGCTTTTCTCTTGCTGCTTTTAATATTCTCTGTCTTTTGCTCTTGGAATTTTAATTATGATGTGTCTTGGTGTGTTCCTCTTTGGATTCCTTTTGTTTGGGGTTCTGTGTGCTTCCTGGACTTGTAAGTCTATTTCTTTCCCCAGGTGGGAGAAGTTTTCTGTCACTATTTCTTTCAGTATGTTTTAGATATCTTGCTCTCTCTCATCTTCTGGGACCCCCATAATTCTGATGTTGGTTTGCTTGAAGTTGTCCCAGAGGTTTCTTACACTATCTTCAACTTTCTGGATTCTCTTATCTTCTTGCTTCTGTGGAGGAGTGTCCTCTGGCTCTTTATGTTCCAAATCTTTGACTTGATTCTTGCAATCTTCCATTCTGTTTTTAGGACTCTGAATAATATTTTTTTTATTTCAGCAATGTATTCTTTATTTCTAGTTGATCCCTTTTCATGTTCTCATAGGTCTCGTTTATTTTGTCAGCCTTTTCTAGGAAACTCTTGAAAAACCTTATAAGCATGGTTTTGAACTCTATATCCAGTCGCTTCTTGTCCTCCATTTCTTTTGTTTGTGATCTGTTTCCTTGTTTAGGCATTTTCACAGCTTCCCTGAGTTAGTAAGGTGGCTTTGTGTGCTAAGGTGTCCTATATGGTTCAGTGGGTCAGCCTCCCAGTTACCTGAGGTGGACAGTCCTGGTGTGCCCTTTGTGGGCTGTGTGTGCAGTCTTTTTTTTTTTTTTTTTGAGAGTCTTTT